GAGTCCATGGCCAGCCAGTGCACGCTATATTCAAAGAACAGTGAGCAGACAAGAATGACCAAAGGGAACCTATGTTCCCCCAAAGTTTAATCCCTGGGCTTACACGTGATGGTGATATATGAATCATTTTTATTTCTATTAATAGTATGTACCCACTTTCATGTGTCTTGAAGAAAAATACAGGCTGGCCATGGTGGTTCATCTGAACTCAGGAGTCTGAGACCATCCTGGGCAACACAGTGAGACCTCATCTCTACTAAAATTCAAAAAAATTAGCCAAGCGTGGTGGTACCCAACTATAGTCCCAGCTACTTGGGAGGCAGAGGTGAGAAGATCACTTGAGGCTGGGAAGTTGAGAGTGCAGTGAGCCCTGGTCATGCCACTGCACTCCAGCCTGGGCAATAGAGCAAGATCCTGTCTCAAAAAAGAAAAAGAAAAGTAGAACCAGTACATCAAATCCAGGATTTCAGATATAAACTGTATTTAAAAATAAATTTAAGTTAAAAAGGTGAATCAAAGTGGTTGTGGGAAAGATGGAGAATGGAACTGACTGAAAAGGGGCCCTCAGGGTTAAAGAAATGTTCTCTGTCTTCATTTGAGTGCCAAAACCCACTGAACGATATACACTCAAGATCTGTGCACTTTACTCAATGCCTGTAATCCCAGCACTTTGGGAGGCTGAGGCAGGCAGATCGCGAGGTCAGGAGATCGAGACCATCCTGGCTAACAAGGTGAAACCCAGCCTCTACTAAAAAATACAAAAAATTAGCTGGGCGTGGTGGCGGGCGCCTGTAGTCCCAGCTACTGGGGAGGTTGAGGCAGGAGAATGGCGTGAAGCCAGGAGGCAGAGCTTGCAGTGAGCCAAGATGGCGCCACTGCACTCCAGCCTGGGTGATAGAGACTCCATCTCAAAAAAAAAAAGATCTGTGCGCTTTATTATATGTAAAATATACCTTAATTTATTACAGTTAATTTAAATTTTCAAAAAAGTTAATAGAGCAGGTGGCACCTGGATATGGCAGAAACCTTAAATGTAATGTGTAAATGACAAGTTCAAAACGCAGTGATAGGCTGGCCCTGCCCAATAAAATGTTCTAGTAGCTACAGTTTAAAAAGTAGAATTAGATGATATTTTATTAATGTTTGTTTAGCCAATATACTTAAAACAGTACCATTTAACATATAATCAGTATAAAAGTTATTGAGATGTTTTAAAATCCTCCTGCATTAAGTCTCTGAAACCTGGTGTGTGTTTTCCACTTACAGATCCTCTCCATTGACATTTCAAACGCTCAATAACCACCTGAGGTTAGCACTGGACAGTGCAGCTAGAGATGACGAGAATGCAAGAAAGGTTTTTAAGGTGGGAGGAACTTGTATTCCATAAATATTATAGTCCAAAGGCCCAGCACTATCCAAAGTACAGGTTTGTAGATCAGGAAACAGAAAGACTTTGGGCTTCCTCTATTTTGTTATTTGTTTTAACAATAAAGCCAAGAGTTTGTTTCATAAGTCTGGCCTAAAAATTACTGTTGGTTAAAAAATTTGTTATTACAACAGCCTAAAACTGCCCCTTTGCAACGCAATTCTCTGTGAGTGAGTGGCAGTTACTGTCCTGGCAACCCATTCTAGGTGTGAAAGGCAGCAGTGCTTTCTCCTGGCTTTCTGTCTGAGACACATCCAGAAGCCTTTCCACACTGAAAGGAAAGAGCAGGCTTAGTCACCCAATTCTGTGGTCTCTAATTAGGCAAGAAAAGTTATCCTGGGCTTCTGGACACAGAAAGTAAGTCTCCCTGGAAAGAAGGAAAATTAAAAGTTTGGAAATTTTAAACCCAAATGTCTTTGTTATGAGTTCGATACAAACGCAGAACCAGAAATGACAGTTACCTCGGCTGAATCTAAAATGGTGTCACCAAAAGCAAACAGTGTGGTCAGCACAGTTAGTGGCTTGGTCTTCGCAATAAATGTTTCCTACTAACTATTAACATCTCTTGAGATCTTTAAACAATTATCTGCTGACAGCTGTTATTCTATTATGTGCCTTCTGTTTACTTTCAAACTCAACCACTAAAGAAGAAGGTACCATCTTCACCTTAATAAAGTGATTTTCGGCCAGGCATGGTGGCTGACACCTGTAATCCCAGCACTTTGGGAGGCCAAGGAAGGCAGACTGCTTGAGCTCAGGAGTTCCAGACCCACCTGGGCAGCATGATGAAACCCAGTCTCTACAAGAATTGCTTGAACCCAGGAGGCAGAGGTTACAGTGAGCCAAGACCATGCCACTGCACTCCAGCTTGGGTGACAGAGTGAGACTCTGTCTCTCCCTCTTTTTTTTTTTTTTTGAGACAGAATCTGGCTCTGTTACCCAGGCTGGAATGCAGTGATCTCAGCTTTCTGCAATCTCCGCCTCCCAGGTTCAAATGATTCTCCTTCCTCAGCCTCCCGAGTAGCTGGGATTACAGGCACCTGCTACCACGCCTGGCTAATTTTCATATTTTTAGTAGAGACAGGTTTCATCATGTTGGTCAGGCTAGTCTCGAACTCCTGACCTCAAGTGATCCCCCCACCTCGGCCTCTCAAAGTGTTGGGATTGCAGGCATGAGCTGCTGCGCCCGGCCGAGACTCTGTCTCAAATAAATAAAGTGATTTTCACTGATTGTCAGTGTGCATGCGATTTCAATAACAAGTGAATAAAAACCAATCACCTAAAACTGTCCATTTAAATAATCAACGTGAAATAAGAATATGGCCAACCTGTTTCAAGGTCTCACAGCTAATGCAGAACCAAGTGCTCCCAGTTATGGACGCAACTGATCTAAGAAACATTCTTCAGATTGATAGTATCAATTTTATTGAAGGGATGCTGACATTCCCCTTTACTTCCCAAAATCACATCAAATATTAAATTCACAGCCTTTGAACCATTTCAAATCCAAACTCTAAATAAGGTAAAATTAAGTCACTTCTAATGTACCTTATACTCTCAACTTTTCCTGCAATTCTCATTTTTATTTAACATACACAAGTCCAATCAAAGCTTTCAGGAAGATTTGAAAAGATTAATGTGTTTTAAAGAAGGATTTGGCATTACTGAGGTGATTTTCTAAACAAAACTCCGAGTCTGCCTCCCTGTACCTCTGTGAATTCTAATGGATGTGTAGAACCTTAGGAACTCCTCTCCTATAGTTAGAAGACTGGGGAACTTTTTTCTTTTCTTTTTCTTTTATAAGTGACCTAGTATTAATATATCCTATTTTTTCTCTATATTTAAGAAGGCCAAACAGAAAATAATGCTGATATGGGAACAATTGTTCACATTGAGAAATGAGAACAGAATCCTAATCTCATTTATAGTCTATACTTGGACTTGTTTACTATTCCTAATTGGAACAAGACACTATCATTTTTAGTATAAAACCCCTAAATTCTATACACTATGTTTTAATTCCTGCAGCTATCCGAGAAGGGAAGAAATCTAGCAGAGTGACCAAGTCACTTATTTGAGCTATCCCCATGTACCGAGGGGAGGTGTCGCAGTTTCCAGCAGAAAACCAGTCTGTCCTGGCTGATCAGTATCTTTAATCCTATTTTCTCTGGCTTTGACAGCACTTGGTCCGAACCTAAAGGGCAGAGAGAGCTTCAGAGTTCCAACGACACTTAGTGCTCCAACGACAATGAGATGATGGAAGAACAAAGTATTTTTTTTTTTTTTTGGAGACGGAGTCTCGCTCTGTCGCCCAGGCTGGAGTGCAGTGGCCGGATCTCAGCTCACTGCAAGCTCCGCCTCCCGGGTTTACGCCATTCTCCTGCCTCAGCCTCCCGAGTAGCTGGGACTACAGACACTCGCCACCTCGCCCGGCTATTTTTTTGTATTTTTTACTAGAGACGGGGTTTCACCGGGTTAGCCAGGATGGTCTTTATCTCCTGACCTCGTGATCCGCCCGTCTCGGCCTCCCAAAGCGCTGGGATTACAGGCTTGAGCCACCGCGCCCGGCCGAACAAACAAAGTATTTTTAATATGCAGTCTTTTCCAAAGATGACTGGACATAAGGCACTGTCAAAAAGCAATTCCCAGAGACACCCTCTGGCCCCTAAACAATACTGCAAAGTCAGAAATGGCAGAAACCTACATACTAAGAAATAGGGTAAACCACTCATAAACTACCTATTAATTGCTAAAAAGAAGTTGATACTCCCCGTCAAAAAATGAATAACCATCAAAAAAGCTTATGTGCCGAATGCTGGTTTAGCGGCAAGGATGTAGTGCCGTGGAGGAATAGCGTGGTACCGTGATGGATCCAGGCATATCCAACATTCCTGTGACAGTGACCATGGAAGAGCTGTGCATTTGTCCTGAAGATGTGGGGGGTGGGGGGTGGGGACAATCTATCATTAAAGTAGACTTAAGTGGAGCGTCATTCAGAAGATACCACCTTCCCCCACCACCAAAGAAAATACAATAAAAGAATCTCTCATACATGTATCTGAGACACCAGATCACTACACTCTGAGATGGTTCCACCACATGCATGGTCTTGTCCCTATCTTCTGCCAGATGCAGAATCACCTACAGGGATTTTTTAAACTGCCTCCATTTTCAGGTTATGTCTCTGTCACATGCAAAGACATACACCGTTTTTTCTATTCTTAGTAAGAACAGAAAAACCTATCATTTTGAGCTATCGTGACACAGAAAGCTTGGTGCACAAGAAAACATTCCACGTTGTCGCTGCCTTTACAGTCCAGAAGATTCCTAGACAGCCCAAAGCCCAGAGCAAAAAGCTGGATAGCGCTGGTGCCTCAAGCCCAAGGAAGGGCACAGCTGGGCCACTACAAAAGGAAGCTGGTCTCTTCGGCAAAGAGACCATCTGTGCCAAAGAACATTCCAACTAACAACAGTGCCGTACAAGCTCGGGAGGAATCAGCAATCAATTTGTAAATGTTCAAGACAAAACCAGAAAAATCTCTGAAAGAGAATAAAACTGCAGGGACTTACATACCTCCATGTCTGGCCTAAACTTATCTTCAAATACAGCCATTGCTGCCAAGGAGCCAGAACCTGTAAGAAAAAGGTGCACTTTTAGTGTATTTTATGATATACCAGCTTCTCCATCTCAAGTTTACCTAGGGGCAACAAAAACAGCAAAACATGCCCAGTGTCTCATTCAAGTGCAGTGTAAATATTAATTCCACAGGGCCACATAAACCAGGTGAAAACAGTGTTCTTCAAAAGCCCGGAGTCACACTTACCACTATCTAAGGTAAATCTGCAACTGGTCCTACTTCCACCACTGACAGGTATAACTGTAAATTATTCACAATAAAATGCTGAAGCATGAAAATGAGGTTATGGAGAATTTGGATTTTTTTCAAACAGTGACTGCCACATAATTTCCCATGTTCTATGTTGTGAGTCTAGTGCTCCATATTGTGCCTTGGCAGGCTGCTGGGTATAGCGCTAAATACCAAGCCAGTTCGAAAGAAAAGATTGTTTTAATGAGCTGGCCCCGGTAGAGTCACCTTGACACACAGGGAAGAAACTACCGCACCAGCAACGGTAACAGAACTGCGAGCAGCAGCCACCAGGTTATTCCAGCTACAACTGTAAAACACTTTATTATGTGGCATTTATTTGGAGCTATTATTTTTAGTTTGTACATTGAAGAGTAACAGCTGAATAGACAAAATGACAAAGAAACAAAAATTTATTATCACAATAGCAAATGGCTGAAAGGTTATGCTGCATAGACATTAACAGATAGCAAATTTATCCCTACAAAAGTAGGATGTAAAGGCATTACGAATAAGTGTGGGCTCCCTTTGAATGGACGCAAAAGGCAGCTCAGCACTCCTTGAAAATTTAAATTTGCTTTGTTCAAAAACCAGAGAATCCTTAGAAAATCATCATCTTGTCTTTACAGGTCCTGGCAATATTTCAGTATACTCCACTTTTAGAGAGAGGATAGAGTTGCCCACAATTTTTTACTCCAATTAGAAGATTTTTTTGGCATTTATTACTTTTTAACTTGTTTTGCATAACACTATCTATTTAGCTAGGTCACAGAGAAAACCATATTTTCTATTTAAAATGATTTGTGTACATCGCTTGACCACCTCAATGGTTTAGCAAAAGAAAAAGGCAGCGATTAAACAGTTTCAAATGAGGTGTCCTGCTGATTTTATCAAGTCTGCTGAATGTATAATGAAAAAGGAGAAGCTGACAGCAACGCCGCGTTGAGAAAATACAGACTACCTTATCTGAACCATTTAAGGAGGTCCAATTATAGATCAAATTTAAAGGGTAGAAACAGCAGATTTACAGACACAAATCAATGAACATGGTAATCCCGATGAATATGACAGATACTCCTGTTAGGGAATATTGCTGCGGTTGAGGATCATTACCTTCACAGTACCGGATACATCACATCTAAAGCAGTAGGAAGCGTCAAGTGTAGACCAGCATTACAAGCAATGACTATTCATTTAGGCTTTGGGAGCAAAAGGCAACCCCATTTTCCCCCCTCACAATTTTTTCTCCTTTTAAAAAAAAAAAACTAAAATGGTGATCTAAAGGGACATTAAAAGCCCTCTGAAAAGGAGACAGAAATTAAACAGATATAAAACTAGTACACTCGGATAAAACTAGCACATAGGCGAGAGCAAATTCAGCAAAACAAACCTCTGAATTTCAAAGTAAACATGTCCTTGAAGATGTGGAAACAGGGTCAAACTCCACCAACGTTCTGTGAGTCACACGTTTACTCTGAGATTCAGGGGTCACGGGAAAAGCAACCTAAGTTGCTGTTTTCAGGCCCAGGTGAGAGCCAGTCTCAGACTTACTAGTAAAAGCAAGCTGGTTTTGTGTGGCAAGCGAAAGACAGCTGCCATGAATGAACGAGGCAACTGAAAATAAAGAATCTCAGCAAAAAACACTTCTAGATATAAACCAATCCTGCAGAGCATTTGTGAGCAGGCTGGCCTCTTCCAACGAAGTCCAGGAATATCTCCACGAAGAGCCCAAGGGTAATCAACCAGAGGTCCGAAATAAACATTTAAAAAAGGACAGGCAGAAGGCAGGTATAACAACTTGTGGAAAACTGTAATGAATTGTTAAAAGAGAAAAACAAGCTTACCTTAAAGGCATTTTTCCTTAAAAATCACCAGCTGTTTTTTCCTCCGGGGTCATTCCTTTCTTTGGCAGTTTCACAGTAAATTTTTTTTTTTTTGGCTCTATTCTTTTTCCTAGGCACATATATTTCCTTCTGCTCAGCTTCACTCAATAATTTAAGAAATGAAAAATATTTCCCTCCCCAAATAATTATTTCTTTAAAACCTTTTTCCCGGCTGTGCGCGGTGGCTCACGCCGGTAATCCCAGCACTTTGGGAGGCCGAGGCGGGCGGATCACGAGGTCAGGAGATGGAGACCACCCTGCTTAGCACAGTGAAACCCCATCTCTACTAAAAATACAAAAAATTAGCCGGGCGTGGTGGCGGCGCCTGTAGTCCCAGCTACGTGGGAAGCTGAGGAAGGAGAATGGCGTGAACCTAGGAGGTGGAGCTTGCAGTGAGCCCAGGTCACGCCACTGCAATCCAGCCTGGGTGACAGAGCGAGACTTTGTCTCAAAAACAGAACAAAACAAAAAACCTTTTTCCTGCCTAGAAACAATACTACAGACAAAACTTCTATAAGTGGAAATAACACACGAAACCCACAGACTCTTGGAACAAAAGAGTCTCTACATTATCAGACAGGCAATTTTGTTATGTTTTTTTAGAGCTGAAAGGTATAAGACAAGTAAACATAGGACTTGGGACTTTTACTACACTGTATTTCTGACTTCCCCTTTTTGTACCTCAAAAAAATATATATATACACACACGCGTGCACACACACACAGACACACTCTCGAGAAGTTTTCTGAAAAGCAGGAGCTTCCCAACCTGATTCTGCTTCCCATGAAATCAAAGACAAGTGGGCCCCAAAATAAACTTGAAAAGAAAGGGAAATTCAACATTAAAAATAATTTCCAAATCACTTGCAAATTAGCTCCTGCTCCGAGCTTTTCAGGAAAGGAGGACTTTGGCGCCCCCTTTTCAAAAACACACAGAAGTGTTTGGAGATAGAAAACCTGTCAACAGGTTTGTAGGTACCTCTGAATGTGTGTCTGCCATTTAGAAAACTGGGGTGAGAATTTAAAATACTACTGCAATTGCCTGAAGTGACAAGAGAACATAATTTCAAGGCAATGCAGTGGGGAACACAAGGAACAAGAAGTTGGCCATTAAAAAAAAAAAAGATGGTAAACTCAGACGAGTATTCTTTAAAGATAATTTCACTCAAGTTTCCTAGATACTGGTCCAACATCCAAAACTATATACAATAAATCACCAGTCAAATGCCATTCTAGTACAGCCACCATGTGACCTGTAAAATGTTAAAATATTATATCCTCTTTCCCCATAAACCACTAACAACGCCCTGAGACATTGTTATTTCAGCATCAACTACCTAAGCTGGCACCCTCTTCATAAACAAAACCAAGGTGAAAATCTTTTGAAGGATCATTTGCTCTGAGTTTTTATTCCAAAAGCAAAGACATCTTAGACATTAGAACTGTCTGATTTCCCATTAAAGAACAGATACACAGAAAAGCCAGGGGACAGTGTGGCCAAGACTGGGTCTCTGCGGTACACTCGAGTATGCCAGAGAAGGAAAGGCATGTCAGAGAGGACATGCAAGAGTGAGGCCTCGGAGAACTTACTCCAGTTGGGAGGAGAAGGAAGCCAAAGAGAAGAACAAGGGCCTTCTGCTGAGCACCTGCCAGGTGCCATGCAGTCTATTTTAGGTCATTTCATCATCTTCATAGCAACCCACTAACGTGAGAAAGCTCCTTGTCTAGGACTACAGGAAACAAGCACAGGGGCAGGATTCCTGTCCCAGCTGTGACCCTATGTCGCGCTCTCATACAGAAAGTCCTATATACCACAATACAGTTGAGAGAGCACATGCAAGACCTTCCATGACCAGGTTTCTATCTCCTTCTGCTCCCTCCCATCCCCCATACACACCCCTGATACTCCACCAACACCACACTGCCCATGATTTCCTAAATGCCCATGCCAGTTCAAGCCTATCTCACACTGCACATGGCAGTCCGTTTGCCCCGACAGTCCACAGAACTCCCAGTCACCCTTCAAACTCCAGGTGAGAGAACACTTCTTCCTAGAACCCTTCCTTGGTCACCCCCCAGCCACAGGGTTTACCACTCTCATCTCTGCAACTTGTCCATCCTTTCATATCCACAGCCCTCATCCCCAACAGTCTCTGACACATGGCAGCATTAGGAGAGACGCTTATTGAAGTAAGCTGCACAAAAAGGTGAGGCCAACTGTCCAAATGAGGGAGCCGGAAAAAACTCTGAGCTGCCCCTGAAGGCGTGAGGATAGCAGTAAATGCCTTGATAAAGCAATATTTATTGCCTAGTTTACCATATTAGGTTGAATATAAGACAAACTCAAGTGTAAAGCCAGTTCAATTTTCTAAAAGGAAAAAGGGCTTTAAAACCGCAAAACCAAGTCCTATTGTACGTCCTAGTCCAGTACAAACCACTGTGATATCACAGGAGTGAACGGCCCTTCCTGGATTTCTGCATTATATTAACACTACTGACACTCCCAGTCTCATCAGTAGTTTCCATGAAGCTGCTCCCTAGCAACCTTCACCAAGCCTGCCTTTTCAGCACACCCACGGTTACTGAGTACCCAGTATTGCTTCCAGAACAAAGCTCTTTGAAACAGAAAAACAAGGTGCAATTCAGTGACCAGCACTTAGAGAGGTGACTATAAGTAAGGACACTATGATGGCTACCTAGTCCCCTCAGACTGACCTCCTGCATCAACTGCCCTCCCCCAGCCCACCTACATACCCTGCTCAACACTCGCCACCCCAATCCACCAAGGAGCTGGGCTGTGGAGAGACAGGGAGGCAGGAAGGACAAATGTCTCCTTCCCTTTCACCTGCGGGGCCTTCCCCCATCCACTGCACACACTCCACAG